AAATGTTGGGTTTATATTAACATAAAAAAGTGAAGTTAAATCAAAGAAAATATTTCTTTAGGTAATATATGCTGCAAACATGTATTCACATCTATATTATTGCCTATAATTCAGAAATTCCCTGTGGGAATTCTTTTTTTTTTTGAAGATTTTATTTATTTGACAGAGAGAGACATAGTGAGAGAGGGAACACAAGCAGGGGTGAGTGGGACCGGGAGAAGCAGGCTTCCCATGGAGCAGGGAGCCTGATGTGGGCCTAGATCCCAGGACTCTGGGATCATGACTTGAGCCGAAGGCAGATGCTTAGCAACTGAGCCAACCAGGCACCTCCCACAGGGAATTTCATTTTAATTGCTATTCTAAATAGTAATTTGTAATTGCATTTGTAATGCTTTTTATTGTAAATTAATAAACATCCTTCATGACCAATGCTAGAAAGCTAATAAATATTTTATTAAAAGCAAGTCATTAAAATTCTAATTGTAGTGCAGTATGCTTCCATAAAGAAATACGTCTTCAAAATGCTGTGAATAACTGAACATCTATAACTCTTGACATCTAACAGTGCTACCAACAAAAATCTCTTAATTCTAGAAAAAAAAGCATATCAGACAATTTGAGACCTATAAGGGACCTTTGAAATATCTAATCTATTTGCCTTATTTGCACATTAAGAAAATGAGATCTGGTCAAGTTAACTGCCTTAGCTAACATTATAGAACTGGCTATTGGCTGAACGAGTCTTCCCAATTCCAGTCTATGGTGTTTGGTTTCAATAACTTTTAGTGTAATTTATCCATATAAAATGAAAGAAAAACATGGATAGGAGAGTTGAAATTATAACAATGTTATAGTGATAAGGGATGATTTTTATATTAATAGCTTAATTTTATTCTATAAAATACATAAGTATTTATAAAATGCAATGATTACCAATAATATAACAGGATATTCTTAAAGAATATTTTGTATAAGCTCCAGTAATATAGATATTTAAGAGTAATAAATTATAATTATAAAAAGCAATCTCTGAAAAACAAAGTAGCCCAAATTTTTAGTATCAGAGAATATTTAAAGTTTAGTACATATATTTGTTTGGTATTTTATGCAGACTTACACTACTTTAACTAAAGAAAAAAAGGAAATGTACTCTCAGGAAATGAAAGACCTCAAAGAACATTCATAACATTTTACAGTTCATTAAACATCTAGACACTATGCAAGATACTGACATTCACAGATGGTGAAGAGGGAAAAAATCTCTGTCCTCAGGCACTCAACAAAGAAAAAGTGGCAGCCAAATAAAGTAAGAAGTATGGTACATTTTTCTCTGTCTTTAGGCCTTTGCTCCTGCCCTGGTTATGAAGGGAGAAAAAGAGAAGGAAGTATCTAGCTGTAACGGTGACGGAGCTGGGAGAAGACAAGATAGGGGAGAGAATGTTAGAAAAGCTTCTCAGAAAAGGTGATGGAATACGCTGTGTTTGAGAAAGATGAGTAGGAGTCTCCACGCAGACAAAAGTCTGAGAAGGTTTTTTTCAGGAAGAGAACTGCGTGGTGCAGAGAGACAATAGAGCATCTCTTGGAGGACCACAAACACATCGAGGTAAAGATTATGCCTTTTCTTTTAGACATCATGAGTCTGGCATACTTTCAGAACATATATTGGGGTTCTTTTTTTTTTAAGATTTTGCTTATTTATTTGAAAGAGAGAGAGCATGAGCCAGGGGGAAGGGCAGAGGAAGAGGGGCAAGCAAACTCCCCACTGAGCGGGGAGCCTAATGCGGGGCTCCACCCCAGGACCCTGAGATTGGGACCTGAGCCGAAGGCAGACACTTAACTGACTGAGCCACCCAGGGACCCCCACATATTGGAGTTCTGTAGGCAACCGGAAATAAAAGTTTTAGGCTTAAGAGAGAGCTTGGTTGAACCCAGAGTCAAAGCCATTAGGGAGTAAGTGACTTATGGATGAGACAGTCCAGGAAACATGTACAGAATGAAAAGAGGATCAAAATGGCATTCTTAGAAATACAAGCCCTTAAGGTCTAAAAAAGGAACCCAAATGGACACACACAAAAAAAGGAGAACAAGAGAATGAAGAACTAAGAAACTAGGGCAAACTAAAGACCAATATTTCAAGGGTGGAGTAGGCAAGAGTATCAAACGCAGCAGACGCAAGGACTAAAATGTGTCCACTGTTCCTTGGTGACTTTAGCTAGGGCAGTTATAGTCCTGTAGTGGGGTGTACACCCAGACTATAGTAGACTGAGTGATTAATGATTTTAAGGAAGTAGATGCTGCCACCATAGACTTTTCTTTCAGAAGGTTTAGCTACAAAAGTAGAGGAGGCAAGAACAGGTGCTGATGCAGTTAAGTTTACAGGTTTGGTAGAAGGAATCTGAATGAGTTTCTTAGGATGATTTCTGTTTTCTCTGGGTAGGAGAAGGTGAGGTGTTTCACTAAGACTCCGCAAAGAAGTGCTGAGGCGAGTGAAGGTCAAAAACAGACACTGTGAAGACTAACGAGCTGACCACGAAAACCTAGGAAGGTCAGGAGTTGTTGTGGACCCGCGTAAGGTTGTGGGGAACCTTATGAACTCACTAAAGGAAATGTTAAATATTAATACTAGTCCTGGCGATTTTATCAGTAAGGGAGTACCTAGAGCAAAGTATAGAGAAATTTTTTGTATTCTTTAATTAGCAAACTGAAATTAAGCAAAAATGTTTAAAATCTGAATAATGTTTACTAAATATGTATATTTTTATATACACCTAGAGATTTGCATAAAAGAAAATATATAAAAGCAATCCTTTTAAACTTATCACTTATTTTCTTAGTAAGAGAAAAAAATCAAAGTTAGTAATGTTCTAGTGAAATAAATTAATTACTAGGAACTTAAAGCATTATATCCAGTCTTTCTGTTGAGGTAAGATTTTTAAAAATATCCTATGGGTGTGAAATGTGAAATATTCCACTTAATCTCTCTAACTCCTTAATTATGATGCTATGTGTAGTTTATTTTAAATGACTGAAAAGTAATTGAACAAAAAGTTCTGATGAAGTATTCTTGATAAGAAGCAACCATTCTCCCTTTCTTTCCCCCCCCCTTCCCTCTAATGTACTACCTATAACAATTATTTGGAACTGTTTGTTCCAGTTTGTTGAGGTCATACTTTTACAGCTGAAAATAAGTGTAAGCGATGGAAGGTGTTTGCTTCAATAAAATCAAAACTGCTTTTCTGATAATATTAATTTCTATTTACAAACTTGCCATTTTGCATTTAAAAATTAAGATGACTATTAGCTCCAAAATTCAAGTGTAAAAACTGCCTTTGTACATTATAATAAACAATCACTATCTGGGATTACTACTTTGATTCTAGGGTGATACTTCTGGAAAAATTCTAAGTTTGTTCCTAAAATAGCAGCAGTTAATTCCTCTGGAGAGACAGATTTTGTTAATCTAGCGCCTGGTTAGTGAACTTGGTAGGTCATCTACACGGTTAGATCAGAACAAGAGTTACCATCTCTTCTCCAAGAGTTGATACACTCACAAAAAATGCCCAATATACACTCAACATCTATTCTGTAAACTGTTACTTCTAGTGTCACCACAAAAGATCAGCAATATCTGGGGCGCCCGGGTGGCTCAGTCCTTAAGCGTCTGCCTTCTGCTCCGGGCATGATCCCGGGGTCCTGGGATCAAGCCCTGCATCGGGCTCCCTGCTCAGCCGGAAGTCTGCTTCTCCCTCTCCTGCTCCCCCTGCTTCTGTTCCCTCTCTTGCTTTCTCTCTCTCTGTCAAGTAAATAAATAAAATCTCTAAAAAAAAAAAAATCAGCAATATCAGTTGGTCTAAAACTTCTCTGAAATAAATCATAATGTTTATTCTTTCAAAAAGGAAGTGATTTTTGACAGTGCTGATCACAGAGATTTAAAACATACATATATACACAAGCACATAAGTATATAATTTGCAAAGGTAAGAGGTGTAGTTTTTATTATAATATTTAATTTTCTTAAAAACTGCATTATTATAAATTATAATTAAGTTGTAACATAATAAATGCAACATGTAAGTATTATTTTATTACTACCATTAACGGTGACCATTTGTGTCAGGCACTATGGTAGAAGACTAACATACATCATTTCATTTAATCACAACCACTCTATGATATAAATATTATTACCTATATTTAAGAATGGGTAAATTGAGGTTTCAAGAAATTTAACTTGCTCAATGACTCATTTCAAATAAGTTGAGAAAGCTAGGAGTTGAAACCAGGTCCATATGATTCCAACACCCATGCTTTCAAGGACTAGGCTAGGGAAGTATCAGTTTGCTATTTATTAAAATCTTTAAGTGGATGGATTATATGATCAATGGGCTTAAAGCAAAAAAAGTAAAATTTTTTTCAAAAGGAATCAATGTCTTATATCATTTTTCTTTATTGAATCTATTACCTGTCTGTTGGTGATTTCTCTTCATATTCATTATATTTCCTAAAATAAAATGTTCCTATACTTAGAAAAATAATATTCCCATATAATATGTCAATTTTTAGAACCATAAAAATAGTGCATGTTTCAAAAGTAACTGTAGGGAGCAAGGGCTCATTCACATATACTGGGTGGGGTGGTCCTTCTTTATTTCTCCCTATTCTAACAACACAGTTCTACCAGATGTCTTCACTGACCTCCACTGGCGGACTCCATTTCTTACAATTTTATTTACGGCTTTTTGCACCTGTAAGTTTAAAGTAACCAACTAATTATCAATAACAAAAACTTCTATGTTAAGCACACAGTGATTAAATTCTGTTAATCTTGTCTTGGAACTCAAAACTATAGTGACTTTGAAAATAAAAAAGGGGGTAAATACATTAGACTAAGAAACCAAAGTAGAGAAAAAAAGAAACAAAAGTATTTCTATTTTGAGTAACTGGTCGTTGAAGAATAAATATTAATAGCTCAAATCTGGCCCATCTTTTCTCCTTCTTACCTCCGGTTGACTGGAAATATTCAAAATGAGAGCCCATAAGTCTGCTCTCAGTGCCGTGGGGCTTCCTTGTCGGATATACTGTTGAGCAGCTGCACCATCTTGTTCTGCTAGAACTGTCAGAAGTGTAGAAAGATCTCATTAGAAAATTCATAATGTAAGAAATAACACTGAAATCCTTAATTAAAATATCTTTGGGGAAGCTAACATTTCATCTTATATCTAACATTACATCACGTCTGGACAACCTTCTTTTACTCTCTGAATTTTGATGTGGCCCTGTTTACAGCCCTATACGTGTCAAGCCTTAAATTCCCCCACCTTCTACCTAATCTGGTAAAAGTTTTTAATGTAAGTATCTGGAAATCACTTTGCTTTAACTATAGCTGTACATATATATATATATAATCTTTGGGTTCCATGATCAAGTAAAGTCATATTTACAAATAACTCAAATTTCTTATGCATATTCTCTAAGTTATGAATGTTCTAGTATTTGGAAGTAGTATGGTATTTGAAGTATTATGGTTAAGAATTATAAAGGTGATGTGCCCTGGGTGTCATACGCAACTAATGAATCGTTGAACACTACATCAAAAACTAATGATGTATCATATGGTGGCTAATTGAACATAATATAAAAAAAAAAGAAAAAAGGAATTATGAAGGATGTAAGATATCTAATTTATTAGATGACTTCCTAGCTATCTGCCAAAATCAACAGAAAAGAGAGATTTTTTTTTAAAAAGAGGTAAAAAATAAAAGATCTAATAACCTTTAAGAAGGCCAAAAACTATTTGTAAGCAGCCAAGTTCACAAAATTAATATATTATCCTTTTGCTTTCATTTTCATTTTTATTTTCTTTAATGAAAATACCAACTATTAAGTCTGGAAATAAAGGCTCTCCCCAAACAAACAAACAAAACAAAACAAAACAAGCAAAAAAAAGATATACCAGACAACTGCTGGTATTTATCTAACATAAGTTTTCTTATTATTTTCTTCTTAAAAGGGAAAAATAAAAGCTTATACTAAATGAAAATGACATAACCTAAAGAAATAAAGGGATCATATAAAATAAAAAGAAATGAGACATATCCTTTAATTTGCAATTGTGTTTAATGCAAATGTCAAACATATGAGGGAAAAATGATGAAGTCTTGAATAAACATGTTCTTGAAAAACTGAACTAGGGAGTTGAGAACATGGCAGTACAATTGCCATAGAAGGTACTTTGTGATCCAAAGACTTACCTGCACTTCGTATTTCAAAGACAAAACAAGGAAAAGAATCTTCAAAAGGTAGGGGAAAACTATTCCCCGGAACACTAAGAGCCGCTTTGGCTATTAAGTCTTACCATTGTGAACAGTCATCGAGAAGCATGAAAGTTATAGTTTCTCCTGATGCAAGGGCATATTCCCATTAACACTAATGAAAAGTGTGTCGGTGCATCAAAGAGAGAGCCTGCCTCTTTGATTTTAAAATGAAATTCTATTGCTGAATGGAGTAAGCTAACATTCTTGAAGAATGTGTGTCTGCATTTATTATTTCCTTTTTAGTGAACCATCTGTGTGCTTCTTTATCTAACATTTATTGATGAAGCCAAAATGATGCATTTCTCCTCTTTATAAAGATTCCCATTATATTAACTACACAACTAAATATTACTCTTTTTTAGATTTTTAACTTTTTAGAGACTGAATTTCAGTTGGAGGTATAGAATGCAGACATTTACTTCAGACTGTTTCATTTTCAGAAAGTATAAGTATAATCAAAAGCTTACCTTTTTGCCCAATACGTACATGCTCATTTTCAAAAAGTTCTAAAAATGATAAAATAAAATTATTAGACACAAATATGATCAACCACATTTAGAACAATATTAGGTATATTTTTTCTGCTATTGATACTGTTTTAAAGCTGATTGGCTCTATAGAGAACTACAAGAATATGTATCTTTATATGTAGAAAAATCTTTTTTCTAAGTTGTTTAAAGTTTATGGAAATTAAAAATAAGTACATTTAATCAGAAGAAAAAACTGATAATTTTCCTTTGTTAAAATAAAACAGAAGGGCGCCTGGGTGGCTCAGTTGGTTAAGCGACTGCCTTTGGCTCAGGTCATGATCCTGGAGTCCCTGGATCGAGTCCCGCATCGGGCTCCCTGCTCGGCGGGGAGTCTGCTTCTCCCTCTGACCCTCCTCCCTCTCATGCTCTCTGTGTCTCATTCTCTCTCTCTCAAATAAATAAATTTAAAAAAATAAAAAATAAAAAATAAAACAGAATATCTTTTCACAACAGAAAAATGTCTACTCATCTTGACAGCTTCATTTGCAAAACCCTACTTCTGCTCTCTAATCTGCTATGAAAGCATAGCTGAAAAAAGCCTTAATGCTATTATAGGTAAAATTCCACTATACAAATGCCATTTTAAAAGATTATATGGGAGAAAGAAAGATTTACTTTTTTTAAAAAAAGATTTTATTTATTTATTCATTTTGAGAGAGAGAAAGAGAGAGCACGTGAGCGCAAGAGAGCAGGAGGAGGGGCAGAGGGAGAGGGAGAGGGAGAGAGAAAATCTCAAACAGACTCCATACTGAGTGCGGAGGCCAACGTGGGGCTGGATCCCATGACCCTGGAGATCATGACCTGAGCCAAAATCAAGAGTCAGGTGCTTAACTGATTGAGCCACCTAGGCATCCCAAAGATTTGCTTTTAAAGTACCAATCATACTGGGAAAAGACTCGATAAACTAAATCACATTAAAAAAAGAAAAAACTTCTATTCATCAAAAGACACCATGGAGAGTGAAAAGGTAAGTCGCAGAGTGGGAGAATATATCTGCAATACATATACCTGGCAAAGGACTTGTATCTAGAACCTGTAAAGAACTCCTGGAAAAGACAGACAACTATCTGACACAATAGGCAAAACATGTGAACAGGTTCTTTACAAAAAAGGAGACCCAAAGGACCAGTAAAGTTATGGAAAGAGGCTCAACCACATTAGTCATCAGAGAAATGCAATTAAAACCATTATGAAATACACACCCATTGTAATGGTAAAATAAAAAACGGGCAATTCTACATTCAAAGGAAATGAAGCAAATGAACTTTTCAGACGAAGGTGGTGGGAATGTAAATAGTGCAGCCACTTGGAAAACTGGCAGCACCTACTAACACTGAATGTATGCACATCCTAGGACAATTAGCAATTTACTCTCAGGTATATACCTTAATGCATGCATATGTGCCCCAGGGGACATATACTAGAATATCATGGCAGCATTACTGGTAATAACCAAATAGTGGGAACAACTCAAATGACCATCAATAGTAGAAATCATCAACTGTATGATCCCATATCTATAAAGTAAAAAATAGGCAAAACTAACCTATGGTGTTAGAAGTCAGTATAGGTGTTACCCATGGAGGTGGTAGAGTCTAGAATTGTACTTGGAGGCTTCTGGGATGCTGGTAATACTCTATTTCTTGATCTAGTCAGAGGGTTCACAAGTGTTTTCACTTCATAAAAATTCACTGATCTGTATACTTAGGATTTGTGTCCTTTTCAGTATGCACATTATACTACTATAAATGTTATTCAAAAATTAGAGCAAAAAAAAAAAAAAGATTATGAAACTATGAGAGGGAAAGATTGTAGCTCTTCTCCCCATCCCAGAGAAAATCATTTTTTCAATTTCCTTTCTTCCTCTTTCTTCCCACCAGCTGAGAAAGGAGGAACTATTAATTGGATTTGTTAGATTCTACAACAGTGATTAGTTTGCCTTTTCTAATAAATGGGATAACCATGTGTTAAGGGCCATGAACTTACATGTGACTGTCTGGGTAAGTAGAGCCTGGGTCCCCTGGCAACCTGGTGACCATCTTGGCACTTGATTCCCTCCTCCCAATTTCTAGCAGTCCTGCTTTGAGGAGTAGAGAATAAAAACAACTGCATCAACTAAAGAGACTATCAGCCTCCTCTAGCAGATGTAGTGTTCCTTCCTCTGCTCCAACTGTCCCTTGTATGCCTTGTATGTAATAATAGCAAATACTACACTGATTCTTATCTGAATCTTACTTTCCATTATATCTTCACCAAGAGTAAAGATTATGTCATATCTTTGTGTTCACTAGTGTCTGGCCCTTAGCAGGGTCTCACATTTGTTGTGTCACAAGTGAATCAAAGAAGAAAGAACTATACTCCAGTTTAAGAAAACAATTAGGCTTTCTAAAGCATAGCTACTATAGGATTTAGAATAATATTAAGCAATTCTCATGGGTTATTTCAAAAATGAAAAACATAAATATCATTCAAGGTTGTATTATTATTATTTTCTTTTCCTTTTGTTATATATATGGCTATCACTGGCCATGAACAGAAATAGAAGATATCTGTCTTAGTCTGTTCAGATTACGATAATAAAACACCCACAGACTGGGTTATAAACAACAGAAATTTATTTCTTACAGTTCTGGGGACTGGAAGTCTAAGATCAGGGCACCAGTTTGGTTGGGCTCTGGTGAATGCCCTCTTCTGGTTTGCAGACTCCTGCCTCTTCTCTGTGTCCTCACATGGTGGAAGGAGCTAGAGAGCTCTTTCACAAGGGCGCTGATCTTATGCGTGAGTGCACCACCCTCCTGACCTAATCACTTTCCTGAGGCTCCACCTAATACCATCACCTAGGGGATTAGAACTTCAAAATAGTTCAGGATAAAAACATCTAAACCATAGCAGTATCTTCTTCTGTAAGATATCTGATATCTTCTTATAAAATAAAAAAGGACTATTAAAGGGGCTAGGAGGGGAGGCAGCATATAATGGCAGACTTTGGAGGCAGACTGTTTAGTTTTGAATCTTGGTTCTAGCACTTACTAGCTTTGTGACCTTGGGCAAGTTACTTAACATCTCCACTTCTTCAACTTTAAAATGGTAGTAATACTTATATCTCACATGACACTAGAAAATTAAAGCCACAATATTGTGTAACTATATGCCACCAGAATGACTACAAAGAAGATGGCATACATCAAGCATTAGCAAACATATAGGACAACTTCTACTCTCATACCTTGTTGGTGGAAGTGTAAACTGGTACTACGGTTTTTTCTTTGGAAATTATCTACTAAAGCCGAACTTATGCAAACCCCAGGAGAGAGAAATTGTCTTCCCAGGGGTATACTCAACAGTGGAGTATACATATGCTCACCAAAAGAAACATACTAGGATGTTCATAGCAGCCTTATTTGTCATACCCCAAACTTGAAACTTCCCAAATACTCATCAACAGCAGAATGAATAAATAAATGTGTGGTATATCAATACAGTAGAACATTATAATGCAAAAAAATTGCCCACAAATACATACAATACGGCTGAATCTCAGAAACATAATGTGGAATAAAAGAAGTCAAACATCAAAGGGTACATACTATATGCTTCCATTCATATGAAGTTCAAGAACTGGCAAAATTAATCTATACTGCTAGAAATCAGAATAGTGGTTATCTTTGACAAAGGAAATAAAGATTGAAAGAGGGTAGAAGGGGCCTTCAGTTTATTGATCTGGATGGTATTTTAATAGGTGTGTCCAATTCATAAAAATTCAATGAGCCATTCTCTTAGGATATATGTATTTTTCCTTTTTTAAAAAAATATAATCTCTACACCCAACTTGGGGCTCAAACTCACAATCCAGAGATCGAAGTCACACTCTCTACCAATTTAGCCAGGCAGCCTCCCCTGTACTTTTCTATATGCATTATACATTAATAAAGTTTTAAAAATGGTAATAGTACATACCTCCTAGAGCTGCTGGGGTTAAAATGAGATAATACACATGTAACATATAGTATGTACTCAATGATTTTATTATATTTACTATTATTATTAATAAGAAATAGCCAACTTCCTTATTTTATAGAGAAAGAAAAAAGTCCAGAAATGTAAAGTGACTTGTCCAAGTCACATAGCTAGCCAGTGGTGGAGGAAAGACTAGAACAATTCCACTACAATATAGGCCTCCATATTTTAAGTCAATTTTTACTTCTTGTTTATTATAGCTAAATACTAATCTGGTCTTTTATGAAAAACACATTGTATTTATGCACAAAAAGAGAAAAGCTGGGGAAATGTTCTGTTTGGTTAAGATTTAAAAGACACTAATTTTATAGCCTAAGTTTACACAAGGTAGAATATATGTATATAATTAACTTGGTGATACAAACAGTAATAAAAATAGATGGTAATGGCCAGTAAATGAAAATATGAGTGCTGCCAGTGACAATTTTACCAACAAAATGACTTAAGTATGTTAAATGACTTTTCAAAATTAAAGACCTTCAAATAAAAAGACAAAATCTAGTTGAATTCTGATAATTATAACATACAGAATTCTATTCAATAATTAACAGTAATCAAGGAGTAATCAAAAAGTATGCTTAGTTTTCAGACATAAAAAGTTACTAGATTAATTTGGAAATGACAAGATGAGCTTTCAACTCACTCTCATTTATCATTAATTATCTGCTGTATGGAAGAAACACTCACCAGGAGGCACTTGTGTAGAATCATCTATACCCAGCTGTCCTGTAGTTAAGCCGAGTTCTACAAAGAATTCTTTCTGAAAAATAACACACATAGAATTAACATACATCTCAGGCTTTGCTACACAGTATCAAAAAAAATCAGCCTCCTCCAAATGTAAGCTTAAATAAAAATCACAATGAAAAATGAATCTTTGCTTCCTTCAAATATCTTAAAAAGAAGATGATATTATTGAACTTTTCAAGAGTAATGTGTTAGTCAAATTTTGCTTTTTTTAAGTAATAGTAAGTAAAGTAAGTAAACTAAGTAAAGTAAGACATGATAATTATACTTTTGAGTAAAGAACTAGTAACATTCAAATCTTTCCTGAAACATACCCACATAGTATGTGTAGAACTCAACAATTTTATCTTCTAAATTCATTGTCTAAAATTCCCAATATGATTCTCTACCTGTTTTCTATGGTACTGTACTTCACTTCGCTTTTAATCAACTAAACACTGCAAATATCCAAAACAACTTAAATTAATTTTTAAGTAAAATTAGACTTTCAAGTGTTCTGCTAAACTAAGAACAAATTAGATTTATTCTCCAGACTTCCTCCACTTATCTAGTAATGTCTAGGGAAAGTAATCATGTTTGTCTGTTATTTTTTAAATATATAACAACCCCATATATTCACATTATTTTTATTCCCTAAGTAATTAAATATTTCTATTAATATTTGCCTCAGTGTTTTGTTATTATTCTAATTGCTAAAACCAAACTTCCTTCTCCTTTAAAAGATGGAATTAGTTTTGGGGCGCCTGAGTGGCTCAGTCGGTTAAGTGTCTGCCTTCGGCTCGGGTCATGATCCCAGGGTCCTGGGATAGAGCCCCACATTGGGCTCCCTGCTCTGTGGGAAGCCTGCTTCTCCCTCTCCCGCTTCCCCACTTGTGTTCCCTCTCTCTCTGTGTCTCTCTGTCGAATGAATAAATAAAATCTTTAAAAAAAAAAAAAAAAGATGTAATTAGTTTTAATCCTTCATAATTATATTATTATTTAACTTAGTGATTTATTTCTGCCCCTCATAAGACAGTTATCCAGCCTAACATGTACAGTCATTTCATTTTTGTATTGATTTTAAATAACTGATGTTATACTTCAATTTTTAACTAAACTTGGTTTTTACATATACTTTTAAAAAGCACTTCAATTATTTTTCCAATTTTTAATGACTAAAGAGGAAAAGTCCCTTCATACTACAGAAGGGACCTAGATCCAATAAACATGTCAATATTAGCTTCTGTAATCACAGTGGAGAATTTTACTTATGCTAAGACATGATAAGGCACAGAAACAGAACTCTGAACATTCATTTTCTATTTCACTGCTCTGTACTATTTTTCATTCAATATCAGTAGACCTGCACCCCAATCTCAGATTTCCTTCAAAACTCACCCAAGATACTAGGCCTTCTGGGATGCCTTCGTTGATATTCTGGGCTAATGGAAACAACTTTATATGCTATATGTATTACCTTTTATAAACCTCTACAAAGCATAGAATCACATCATATTGAAATTATCTTTTTATTGTCCATCTCCCCATTAACCTGAAGCTCCTGGAAGGTAAGGACTGTGTCTTACAAATATTTGTACGCCCAGTAGAGTGTGCTGAGTGACAAATAGCAGAGGGGCTCCATAAATATTGAATCACCCTGCTGAGCTCTAGTTTCCAACCTGTTGCCTCTATATGACTGAAACAGTAAACAGGAATGAGTTGACAATTTCACTTTAGAGTTAATAAATTTCAGTTTATTTAAAAAAATGTCTTTTTAACATGGATAAGTCTACATAACATTGTAAACTACGTTTGAAAGCCATCTATTAAAGGATCATTTGACTCAGTGAGCCTCACCAAGTTCAATACTCATACACACAGACCAGGGTCTCAAATAAAACATGCATCCTGGAGTCAGAATCGTATCACCAGGCCACATGACTCAAGGAAGGCAGGAACAACTAGCCCTCGTCACAGCAGGAAGAGAAGGACTAACCATACTCTTAGTGGGTATAGCCACAAGTTTTTTGAAAATTAGCCACAGGCTTTTGGTTCTTCAATAGCTAAGAATGAATCCACATCAGCTCCAGGTCCCCCCAGACAGACAGAAGACATACCTAGTCCCACTCACACACATGCTAAACGTTTTCATACAGTATCCTTTCCCTGCTTCTTTACCTAGCAAACTCCTTCAAACTAGTCCAAATGGCAGTACCTCTAAGAAGACTTCCCACCACTTCCAGCAGAAGAATCTGCCACTTCCTCTTCTGTACACTTTGTATAAACTACTACAAACAGGACTTCTAACATTTTTTAAAAAATAACTTCTTAAAAATTAATTTTTTTAATTGATTAGATTTTTAATAGTAATGATTAACAGTTATATACTGCTTACTAAGTTTCAAGTACCATCTATATGCTTTATATTTTAGTTTCCTAAGGCTTCCATAAAAAAAAAAAAAGTCCCACTAACTGGGTGGCTTTAAACAACAGAAATTTATTCTCACAGTTCTAGAGGCTAGAATCAAGGTGCTAACAAGGCCATGCTCTCCCTGAAGACTCTAGGGGAGATCTGTTCCAAGCCTTTCTCTTAGCTTCTGGTATTGCTGGCAACCTTTGGTGTTCCTTGGCTTATAGATGCCTAACTCCAATCTCTGCCTCCACTGTCTTAAGAAACTCTCCTCGTCTCTCTTCTGTGTCTCTTCTCTTATAAAAACACTAGTCGAATTGGATTTCCGGCCCATCCTATTTCTGCAAGATATTACCTTAATCATTTATCTCTTCCTTTACCCTTCAACAACTCTGAAAAGACCCTCCACAATATAATTTTGCATGTGGTCAAACTTTTCTTGGCAGGCATTCATCCTGGAACCCTCCACCTCTTGCTTCAATCTGGAATCCCTGTGCTCTGGTCCTATTGCACACCCTTTGCCCTGAAACTTCTTTTCATTCTCATTCTGGAAATTTTTCTTCTCTTAGGTTGGAACCCTATTTCCTGGGTTCCCCTATTTTGCTCTCTTTATGAGCTTGTTTTGGAGGTTTTGGTAATAGTTCCCCAAATAAGAGTAAATATTTTAGACCACATATATCTGAAAATGTCTACTCCAACCTCACATCTGATTAACTGTTGGCTACATACAGAATTCTTGGCTTGAAATCATTTGGATTGTTAAAGGGATTACTTCAAAATCTTCTGGCTTCCAGTTTTGCTGCTGAGAAGTCAGATGCCACTCTAATTCCTGACACTTTATATGTATTCTATTTTCCTTCCATAAAGTTTTTAGAGTCTTCTTTTCAGGGGCCTTGATATTGGTCTTCTTTCATTCATGGCATTGGAAAGTGGGTGGGGACCTTTTCATACCAGAGATTCCTATCTTTCAGGTCTTGGGAATTTTAAGAATTCCCTTACCACTGTTTTCTCTTTCTGGAACTCCTACTAGTCAGATGTTAGCCCTTCTGGATTTATCATCCAGGTAAAAAAAAAAAATCTTTTCCCTCTTATTTTTCATCTCGTTGGCTTTTTGCTTTTGTTTTGTCTTCTTTTTTTTTTTTTTTTAAGATTTTATTTATTTATTTTGACAGAGAGAGAGAGAGACAGCGAGAGAGGGAACACAAGCAGGGGGAGTGGGAGAGGAAGAAGCGGGTTTCCCGCTGAGCAGAGAGCCCAATGTGGGGCTTGATCCCAGGACCCCGGGATCATGACTCAAGCCGAAGGCAGATGCCTAACGACTGAGCCACCTAGGCGCCCCTTGTTTTGTCTTCAGATAGAGATTTCCTCACCTTTGTTTTCAACTCTCCTACCATATTTTTGATTCCTAAATGTTCTTTTTCATTCTCTCATGTTTTGTGGTTTTAATGAAACTCTGTTCTTGTGTAATTCTTGTTTCATGAGTAGTATCTTCTCTGAGAATACTAATGGATTAAGTCTTCTATTGGAAAGAAATGTTTAATAGGTTAACCTCTTTGTCCATGTGAAGATGACCTTGGGTTTACCTTCTCCCAGCACTGTTGCCCTGTGTTCTGGATCTCACACACACCACATATACACATGTACACACAAATTGTGGCAAAGGAATGCCAGCTACATTACTAAGCAATGGACTTTACTGAAAAAATATGACCCTTGATGATAAATTACATTTGAAATAGAAGACTGTGAGTGGACTATAAAAATCTATTAGAAAACACAGGCCTTAGTTGCCTGGTGTGGTGTCTCTTGATAGGACTTGGAAGTTATGCTCATGTGCATTATAAGAAACAGTTCCTATCGTGTATGACTTCCCTATGTTGTACCTATGTAATTTTGTCACTTCCAAGTGCATGCATTCCTTGTCGGGGCTGGGAAGTAGCATAGGATTGGCTGTAAGGAATCCCAGTGAAGATCTACGTGATATACAGACATGCTATGTTTTCTGTCCTGTCCTATTCTACAAATCTAAGTGAACCTATGCCAGGTTATGACCTATTGTATCCTGTGAGTGTGAATGTAACTCTAAACCTAAAACAATTAGTGCTCATGATAAGCATTCATTCCCTAAATTGGCTATTTTTCTTTTTTTGGTTTTAATTTTTGTTTCTGCCTTTCAAATTGGAAGATTTCAAATATCTGGAGATCCTAGGCTGGTCAGTCATATTTAGGAATGAGGCAATCGAAGGGGAAGCTGTGTCTGCAAGGATAGGGCATAGGATGCAGTAGAGGGAGAGAACTGGGCAGGCACAGTGATGGAGGTAGGGGATGAGGGTATCAGTCTCATCATTTGGTCAACTTTCACTTAATTTCTGTTTTCAAAATAGTGTCTCATTCCTGTACTGCTCTAAATCTGAAGTCTCTGAATTCTTAGCCTTTCTGATTCTTTTTCTCTCATGAATATGTCTCTGGTCTCCTGTGGGGAAGGAGGAGTCATCTGAATATGCAAGGTGGTAGGAGTCTGTAGGTCTACTGTCTCCTGATATAGACTTTCACACAGTCTCATTTTCAACCCTATTGCTCACCAAGGCCTTCTATAACATGTGGTGTCTCCAATTCTTGAGCCTTTCCAAAGTTCTATGGAGAAAATCATCTTGCTTCTTGTATCAGTCAGAAAATAGAAATCATACCAGAAATATGAACAGGGAAGAATAGAATTAGCAAATGCAAAAAGCAACTATGACTTCTAGACTGATCAAGAAGGAACCAAGAAGGATCTAAGAACTCAGGAAAGGGTCCCCCTTGCCCTCAAGACTGAGATTCAGACTTTCTTTTTTTACGAAATTCTCACCATAGTAAGTTGTAGTTACCATCTGTTATCAAAGTTATTACACTATTACCTACTATATTCTCTATGCTGTACTTTTCAGCCCCGTGCTTTATTTATTTTCTAACTGGAAGTTTGTACCTTTTAATCCTCTTCACCTATTTTGCCCATCTCCCCACCACTCTCCACTCTGATACCCACTAGTTTGTTCTCTGTATTTGTGAGTTTATTCTCTTTTTTGTTTGTTTTCTACTTTGGATTCCATGAGATTCAGTCTTTTTTTTTTTAAAGATTTTATTTATTTATTTGAGAGAGAGAGAGAGAGAAAGTGGTGGGGAGGAGTAGAGGGAAAGGGAGAAGCAGGCTCCCCGCTGAGGAGGGAGCCCAATGTGGGGCTCAATCCCAGGACCCTTGAGATCATGATCTGAGCAGAAGGCAGACACTTAACTGACTGAGCCACCCAGGTGCCCCAGATTCAGTCTTTTAAGGAGAGAGAATGGCTACCCCAGGAATGTTCATGGGGATTAGAGGATGGGTGAAGAAACTTGTCAGGGCACAGTCTGGAGCTGGTTTCTCCATGCTGATCGGCTGCCTTCCGAACATAGGAACCAGGAAGGGAAGTTCCTTTTTCTTGTTATGGTCTGCAGTGCCCCTCCAGAACCTTCTACTGATAAAGCCTAACATCAAGCCAGTTAGCAAAAGAGGAATGTTTGTAAGATCTAGCTCCAGCATAATAAAGCAGAGCAAAAAAAGGTGGATATAGAGCTAAAAGATAAGCTGATAATTGGCATGCCTCTCATCTGTATCTCCCATCTTCTAGAGAGAGGCATTTGAGCTTGACCTTCTTTCATGTTTAAGTCATTTATCATTTTCCTACCAGTTCTCCAACTGAATACATTAACAGAGGTATAAGTTGTTTCCTAGTTTCACCAATGACAGTATTTATAGTTCTGTGCTCCTTATTGCCTTGGGGTGATCAGCAAAAGAAGGAGTGATAATTTCTTAACTCCACCATTAGGAATTCTCCCCACCTTTCTATATTGCTCTATTTTAACACTAACTTCCTCACCGAAATGTGATAGTTTCCAGAGAAAAGACAATCTCTACCTCATCTTCCCTTTCCTTTTCTCCCTCAGTGCCTCATCCTGTTAAGCTTAATAAAGGTTGGTTGAATTAAATAAAATGTACATTCTTTAAAACTTTTTAATAAAATTCACAACTTGTTTCAATGAGTTATATTGCCATAGATCATGCACCTGAATCGCAACAAGCTGTCTTATAAGTATATGCTGTTGGTTAAAATGAGAAAAAAGCAAAAGCATTTATAGGTCCATGAAAGCTCATCTTTAGTCCTACCAGCAAAGTAACTCACTGTCTATATAACATATTGACAATAAAAAACAAACCTTTCACTTAATTTATTTAATGAGCAGACAGTCCTGTTGCTTTAGATATATGCTGCACTAAAATATTTTTCTAATGGCTGTCTTCTAAAATATGTAATATTTTGAAATGCCTATACTTACCAATTCAGGGATGTCTTTTACTTTCAGAGGTACTTGGATTAAACCCAGATGAGTCCTGAAACTAAGAGAATCACCATTTTCATAATTTGGGTTGCGAAGATTAATTAACACCTTTAAAAACAAATCCAACAAAATTGGTTAGTTTCTTTATAGAATGTTTACACTTATAAAATTGGCAGTAATATTCTTGGTGTATCACCACAAAATTAAAAACTATTTGGGGCTATGCATATACTTTAATTACATTTTAAAAAACTATTCAACTGTATTGAAATGTTAAAATACCATAAACATGCTTTAAATTTAATATTCCAACTGGTGATCTACCATATGAAAGTCTAAAAAGTTAAGAATTTAGTTAGAATGAAAAACCTTTTGATGGTAATAAAAAATAAAAATTGCTTCATTATAATATTTAACCAGGGAAGGTGATAGAGAAATAAAAATTGCTTGATTATAATATTTGCCAGGGAAAATTTTAGAATCAACTCTAGCCCTTTTAAAAACAGCCACTGACAACATTTTTAGAGAGATAGGGGAAATAATACTGAAGGGTATTGCCTCTAAACCAAACCCACTAGAAAAAAAAATTCAGAAGCCAAGCTAACAAGAAAAACCGTTTACATACTTTTCAAAATTAAGCAGATAAAAAAAGTCTTAGACATTTACATACCCTTTAATCTAGAAATCGTACTTCTATAAGTATGATTATGGAAATAATTAAGATGTTTGCAAAGACAGTACAGAAAGAATGTCAATGAAGTACTGTTTATAGCAGAAAAATATGAAACAACTTAAACATTCCATTAGAGGGAATTACTTAAATAAATTATAGTTAATTTATATAATAAAATACAATGGCATTTGCCTTAATTAATATAGGTAATGTAAGTAATGACATAGAAAAATATTCACAATATATTCAGTTAAAAAATGTATAATAATGTAGTGTTTATTCCTGTGTGATGGTATTAAAGTAATTTTTAAAAATTTTTCTTCTTATGTGTGTTTTCTTATTTTTCTAACAATTAACATACATTTTTAGGAAAGAATAATTACAATTTAAAAAATATTTTTAAATTGAAAGTCTTGAGGAAAAAAAATCAAGAATCCAATGCAATGACATAGATGGAACTAGAGAGTATGATGCTAAGTGAAATTAGTCAGTCAGAGAAAGACAAATACCATATGATCTCACTCATATGTGGAATTTAAGAAACAAAAAAATGATCATGGGGAAAAAAAGAGACAAACCAAGACACACAATCTTAACTATAGAGAAAAAACTGACGGTTACCAGAGGGTAGGTGGGTGGGGGATGGGTAAAATAGGTGATGGGAATTAAAGAGCACACTTGTGATGAGCAAGAGGCGATGTATGGAAATGTTGAATCACTATATTGTACACGGAAACTAATATTACACTGTATATTAATTAACTGGAATTTAAATAAAAGCTTAAAAAATAAAAAAATCCAGTGAAGGAGATTATGGTAATAGAAATACTACCATACCTGAGAAAGGGATTAATGAACTGATAACTAATCACTGATAAAATGGAATGTGCTATAATGCCAAAACAGTTTCCTAAAATTGCAAACACTAAATTGAAACTAAAAATATCAATGTTATTTGTTAAAAAAAATAAAAATATAGCAAAGAATTAACAGTGCTAAATGCAGACTAATATAGAACAATGCAATTTTAGTCTAATTACACAAACAAGGGATTATACTATACAGAAACCTCACAAATGTAGGATAGAAAAGAGAAAGAAACAATGAATATGTAGGTAATAGAAAAGAGAAAATATTAGAAAAGCAGCAACTGTAAGGATGTAATTATAGACAATGTTTTTTAGTTAAAGAAGAATCTCAGCCTGAATAATAAAAGGATCAATGCGTCAACAGTCCTGAAGGAAACAGAATGTTATGATTATTAAGGAGAAAACATAGTTAAAGATAACCATACAAAAATTACACGAACTTTTGGTCCTTAAGTACTAGAAAAGGGAAGAGTTTGGGAGAAATCTTTAACAAGCTAAGAGAAATAACACCATCACCATAAAGGCAGTTTCTGACCAAACTAACTTCTCCTTAGAGTTAAAAGGAGATTACAGTTGGGGAGCCTGGGTGGCTCAGTCAGTTAAATGTCCGACTCTTAATATCAGCTCAGGTCCTGATCTCAGGGCTGTGAAATCGAAGCCCGCTTTGGGCTCTGTGCTGAGCATGGAGCCTGCTTAAGATTCTCTCTCTCCCTCTCCCTCTACCCCTCACATCCCCCACCCCCCCACCTTGGTCTCTCTCAAAAAAAAAAAAAAGGAGACATACTACAGTTGACTCTTGAACAACACAGGTTTGAACTGCATGGGTCCACTCAAATGCAGACTTTTTATAGTACAGTACTGTAAATGTTTTCTTTTCTTTTATGATTTTAATATTTTCTTTCTTCTAGCATACTTTATTGTAAGAATACAGTATATAATACATATAACATACACAATATGTGTTCATTGACTGTTATGCTATCAGTAAGATTTCCAGTCAACAGTAGACTATCAGTAGTTAAGTTTCGGGGGAGTCAAAGTTTTATGCGGATTTTCGACTATGCATGGGATCAGAACCCCTGCGCTGTTCAAGCATCAACCACATGTTTTATGCTGGCAAACTAGTATCAGAGACAACAGTTCAGAAAAGAAATAAAAAGAAAATGTGAAAGATTTATTCATTCTTTTACTCATTCATTCAAGACCTATTTATTGAGCAACTATGTGCTAAGCACTATTCTACCTGTTGGAGATGGAACAGTTAACTTGCAGCTGGTTTGTGGTAGCTCTATGCTAATCTCCAGGGACACCTGGATGTCTGGAGTGACCCTTGGCCAAGATGGGATGAAATATACTAACTAGTCGTTTATACTGTGCTATTTAATGTCCCCTGGAGATAGTCCATATCAGTTTATTTATATTGTTTCTTGAAAATGTACAGATTGTTGGTTTCACGTGATTTACCAGTGGGGATATAAAAGACCCGTGGGGAAACTTGTGTCTAGACTCCCAAGGCCAGTGTATCTCACTTGTATCTTGATAGTTGATAACCCAAAGACAAAGCATGTCCTGTGCAACTAACAAAGGGCCCTAGGAGCTATCCCTGGAAGTTTGTATCTCTTTGTATTTGTATGTGCTTTCCTTCTCTTGCTGAAACAAAAGCCTTCTGTGGTTAAATCCTGTGAAGTCCTGTGAGTGTCTTCCATTATCTGACTCTGTAATTGTTGCAGGAATGCACAAAACAGAAAGAGAAGCTCCTGCCCTTACAGATCTTCCATTTAATAGGGGAAGGCAGGCAATAAGCAAAATAGAAAAAGAGAATGTTATATAATGATAAATGCTATGACGAAAAACAAAGTAGGAAAAGGCTAACAGGAGTTCCAAGCAGGGGGGTGGGGGGAAGGCTTTGCCAAGAAGGTGACATTTAAAGCAAAGACATAAGAAATGAGGGAACATGCAGACAAGTATCTGAGGAAAAAGCACTGCGGGCAGAGAAAACAAGGAGCAAAGGCCCTCAGGTGGGAGGAAGCTAGGGGAAAGCAAGGAGGCTAAAGTAGCTGGAGTAGAACAAATCAGGGACAAGTTATAGGAGATGAACTCAGAGATGTAAGGGGGTATCAGATCAAATAGGATATTTGATGCCACTGTCATGACTTTGGCTTTTTTTTTTTTAATTTTATTTTTTAAGATTTTATTTATTTATTTGACAGAGAGAGACACTGCGAGAGAGGAAACGCAAGCAGGGGGAGTGGGAGAGGGAGAAGCAGGCTTCCCGCCGAGCAGGGAGCCCGATGCGGGGCTCGATCCCAGGACCCTGGGACCATGACCTGAACCGAAGGCAGACGCTTAACGACTGAGCCACCCAGGCGCCCCTTGACTTTGGCTTTTAAGTAGAATGAGGTGGGGAAGTGCTGGATACCAGAGGAGTGGTTTATTTGGAATGGTACCTAAAGGGCTTCCTCTGGGAACTGCAGTGAGAACAGATTCTGGGTGGGCAAGGGTGGAGTATGAAGACCAGTTAGGAGGCCCTTCATGTCTTGCCTAGACTACTCAAACAGGGGAGGACTAAAAAAGGAAAAGATTCACTGAGCATCCATATGGGCCAGGCGACAGGCTACCTGATTTACAATTACTAGTTTTTAATCAAAATCTTCCTAATTGATTTTTTTGCCTCTAATCTCTCCACATTCCAATGTATTTTCCAAGAGCTATTTCCAAACACAAATCTGATCATGTCATTCTACTGCTTCAGTGACTCTAGGGCTTTATACATGGTGATTCCTCTGCCTGGAGATATTCTTATATCATCATTTCTTCCACATTTTTTCCCTCATTAATATACCTATATTGATCCAAAATAACCTACCTCCAGAAAATCCTTTGGTGCATAAACAGGTCTGAAAAGGCTTAAATCTGGAATTAATAAAATAGATTAGAACAAAATTTCAATTAATACAACATATAAATGCTTATTAATATAAATGTGAATGACTCTTTCATATGTTACTATGCAGCTAGATTAATTCAAACTTGCAGAGTATCGATAATTTGTCACTCATTGTCTTAAGTATTGGGAACACAAAAATGAAAAGGCAGTCCCTTCCCTTAACAGCCTAAGATGACATATTCTGGAAGAAATTAAAAGACTCCCCTTCATAAATCTGTAGTAAGTTTATAACTGAATTGAAAAAACAATGTCAATATAACATAAAAGTTCTATATGAGTATTCTCAAAGTACACAGAACATAAATAATACTTTCTTAGTGAATTCCTCTAGTTGTATTGAACTGTTTTCCCTTTTGAGCTTGTATAACACATTGCTCCTCTAGTACAGTACTTATTTCTTGCCCAGTCCCCCACACTTATTTTTAAAGGAGTGGTGAGGGATTATGTACATGTCTATCTATACAATTATATGCATCTATTTATCATAGTAAATGAGATATAGTTGTCACTCATATGTTTATAAAATTGATTGACTCCATTTTAACCATTAAAATGAAACAAAATAAATACTTAAAAACATTAAGAAGTCTCAAAACTTTTCACCATTTAACCTATCTTTAGAGCCTGAAAAATATTTACCTTAATTATGAGTCTAAGAAATCCACTGAAAGATTTAATCTACTTTACTATAAAAATGTTTTCAAATGCTCCTTTAAAAAAGGGTAATTGAATTAAATATTCTCGAAATAACATAAAACATTGGCCAAAGTTAGGAATTTTTAAACTGCAAAGTAGAAGTTTAAGCAAAAAAAGTAGAGGATAGTAATTAGCAGGGAAGGAAAATTGCTATCTTTCCAAAAGAATTGTTAAATTTGTTATTTTGGATCCACAATTAAAAAGGCAATTTGTTTCCTACTTCCACATTTTGAAAAAAGTTGTTCATATACCTGGTTCATCAGTTCCCATTTCATTCCATTTATTGAGCAGTTCTTTCTGTTCTCCAACTGGCCTCTAAAAAAGGTAATTTTAAAATTGGTTTCATTTTGTGAAGTTTAGCAATGCAGCTGAAAAATAAGAACCAATAACTTATCTAAAAGTTTGAATAAGCTACCATAAGAAAAAAATAATTTCATTACATATGGTGAACTTTTTTTGGAATTACTCTTAAATTATTGTTATTTAACTATTATATCTAGTCTCAATGGCTCAGGTAGAATGTGATACTAATGAGCCCAAGAAAAGAAGGTAAATGATCTCTACTGGCCAGTAAATTTCACAAAGAAAAACTGCTCCTCAGCCACATACTACATCTCTTACCCCATCCAGCAACCTCAGAAATGCATTGCAAGGGGGACAGGCCAAGAGAGTATGACTGTGAGTCAGTAGCATCATCTTCCTATATGAAAGACAGTATATTACACAATACTACATACTTTGACAGTTTTCCATATAAATGTATCCGTTTTTTTACACCATCCTTCTGGTGCCTTCACTGACTTGTCCTTGGCTATTATCCAAAGTTCATCCACAATATCCTGTCCCATGACAAGGAATAAATAGCAGGTAGGGAGAATAAAGTAAAGAGAAACATGTTTTCCCTACTCAGGAGCAGCCAAAAAGAATCCAGAGCATTCCTCAAGTGGTTCTTCTCTTCCTCTTTACCTCTCCCCGCTCAAAGCCCATAGTGACAGATAAATGTTGAGAATTAGATCTGATACTACTACTATTAGAACTAAACAGGTCAACAGAGAGATGACAAATCACCTTTCCATTCTCTATGTTAACCCTGAAAGATGGTACCATACTGGCTATTACAAGATGATAGTATGCCTGAACCCCATCTCTAATTCAAAAAATATGCTTATTGTGCTAATTGGTCAAAAGTAAGGAGACCAAAGGTAATTAAAATTCTTAAAGTACATTTATAACACTTATAACCTTTACAGACAAATTTCTAAATAATCTGTATGTAGATTATATACCGTATTTTTATTTACTCTCAAGATATGCTTCATTACAAAAAGCATTGCAGTATATGTAATAGAAACCTATTTAGAATACACCCATGTAAGTGGCCTTTTACAGATTTTTGTTTCAAAACAAACTGATACACTGGTTTAAAAAAAAAAGATAAATCTGCCTAACAGTTACAACTTCATGGTCTCCTAGTATTTGATTCACAATAAAATACTTAAATGTTAAAAGTACCTTTCGTGCCAATGGGATACTCAGTTCAGTGCACATACTATTTAAACTCTTCAAAATTCTTTTTTCCCAGCTTCCCTGAAATATAAAGAACTAATTATTGTTTCTGATTAACAATACCAAAACAAATTCAAAAAAAATTAAAGATATTATGAGTTATATAGAAATGGTGAGGTTGGTTGAGATTGGTTAACTTCATTCATTAGTTTACGCAACAAATATTGATTACTGCCTACTACGTGCCAGATACTATCCTTAGTGCTGTGAATTAAGCCATGAACAGAAGGTTTCAGTCCTCATAGAACTGATGTTCTAGGGGAGGATGGTGATGAGGATAGGTTAAAAAAATCAACAATCCGTATTATAAGAAAAAATAGCAGGTAATAAAAAAGTAAATTACATTTAAGCATTTTGTAAATGTTTGATACTCAGAAATCCCATTAATAACCTAGTAAAAATAAAACTTTACAGGAATTATTATATTGTCATTTTTCCAACCAAGACATTTCAGTCCTAAATACTTCAGCATGAATGTTCTAGTAAGAACCTTCTCCTACATAATAACCACAATATCACTATCACACCTAAGAACATTAGCAATAATATTTCACATCATCTAATACTTAGTCCACCATCAAACTTTTCCAGTTGTCTCCAAAATATCTTTTATAGTTTTTTTTAATCCACAATCCATTAAAAATGCATGCATTACATTACATTTGGTTGTTATGTCTCTTCCCATGTAGCTGAATCTAGAGTCTCTTTGTCCTTTTCTTTTTCATGATACTGACTTTTTTGAGGAGTCCAGGCCAGTTATCTTGCAGGATGTGTTATAATCTGGATTTGTCTTATTGTTTTTTTGCAGCATTGATTACCTTCTTCTCTAACCCCCGTATCTCTTTTAAACTTGAAATAATAAGTTCTTTTCAATAGTCTGTCATAAATTGATTATCCACATATACCATGTTTTAGTAAATTATTCTTTTTAACACCAAGCTAAAATGTCATAACTTTTTTTTTGGTCTTTTTACTAAAACATGCCAATAGGCCACTTCCAACACACTGAAACCAAAATAAAATAATACCAAAGCTTCAAAATTTAGACCAAGAGAGGAGAACTATATATAACATTATTGATAGTGGACAGTTATATCCAGTCAATAAAAGTAGAATAATAATAATAATAGCTCCTTTATGTGGTTGTTATAAAGATTAAAGATGTAAAGCGCTTGGAACAGTGACATAATAATGATAATAATAATCATTCAATAATGATAACTTTTACTACAGCTATTATTGGCCATAGCTTCCTCCTTAACACATATATTTAAATGCATTACCCTCTTTATCTGGAATATACTCTCCATGCTCTACTCCCATCCCCAACATACTTATTCCTATTATCTGAATAAATCTTATTCAGCTTTCAGGTCTTCACCTCTATTAAGCCTTCTCTTCCTGGTCCCTCACCCCAGATGGTATTAAGTGCCTTTGCTTATAGTCTCTAACAGCACCCCTTCCTTCACCTATCATAGCACATAATCACACTTTGTCTAGCACATTATAGATACTCAATGATGGAACAGATTTCTACTCTAATGTTGCAAGCATTTTAAAAAATTTTGATACAATGGCCTAAGTAATGAGTGAAAAAAAAGCATTCATCTATAGGAGAGATATAGAGCTGTGTGAAATGTATCAGTCTTAGTTCACTAAATATATAGAAATAGATTTTCAGGAGTAAAAGAATACTCTTCATAAATTATATGAAATACTGACAAAACTAATCCCATTTACTGGTTTATTTTCAATTATCTCTCTCTCTTTTTTTTTTTACTGTAAATATTTCTCTTAGATCCAAGACTTAAAATACATTTGAGCACCTTATTCATGATCAAACATTAGTTATAACAATAAAACCCACTTCCACCCCCAACATCCTTATCCTCAATTTATCTGAATAAATCTTACTCAACTTTCATGTCTCAGCTTAAATATTTCCTCTAATAAGTCTTCTGTCACTCCCTTCCCCCACTCCAGACTGTAGGGGAAAAAGATACAAGAAAGCTTATTTTGGAAAAGAAAAAAGTAATTTTAATTCAATCATTACTATAAAAATAAAATTTGCATAAAGATTAAAAATCCAGTCCCTGGAGCGCCTGGGTGGCTCAGTCAGTTAAACGTCTGCCTCCAGCCCAGGTCATAATCCCAGGGTCCTGGGATTGAGTCCTGCATGGGGCTCCCTGCTCAGTGGAGAGTTTGTTTCTCTCTCTCCCTTTGCCCCTCCCCCCTGCTTGTGCTCACTCTTTCTCTCATGCTCTCTCTCAAATAAAAAAAAAAAAAATCTTTAAAAAAAATTAAAAGTAAGAAAAATCCAATCCTTGAATTTGTATCACTTATTTCATTATATAAAGAACCAAATTGCTATTATTGAATTATGATTCCAAGTATTCTCATTTTCAACCACACATAAAAAGGCTCTTGAACTGATAGAAAGACACTAATCACGGACATAAAAACAAAAAGTTACAACAGACATCAATGTGTGGCTCATAATACGTACATAATACATATACACATTTTTAAGACTGCAATACACAATCTTAATACAGTATAAAGCCTACTAAAAAACATGAAGGCCATTCAAAATAGAGTGACATCTTCTGGAATGACACCTCAAAAAGATATCCTGAAACATATTTGTTAATGACTCCTTTAAAAAATTATTTTGGTAAAAACATCTCATTCAAGTGTTTTCTAGAAAGTACAATTTTTAAATGATTAATCATAGTTCTCCTAAATGGATAGCCCCCACTACCAAGTATTTCAATTTACCAATTTGAAATTGAATGTAATTCAATTAGATGTAATATAGAGCAATGTAATATAGAGAGAAAATAGTTAAGGAAAAAAGTTACACAGAAAAGGAATCAGACAACAGAAGAAAGCATTCTGAAAGAAAAGAGTTTGGAAACAGCCACATAATTTACATATATTACTTTATTAATCCTGTGAGATATGTATCATTACCTTCATTTTATGAATGAGGAAACTTTAAGATTTTATTTATTTGCAAGAGAGAGTGGGGGAGAGAGAGAGAACACGAGTAGGGGGAGGGGCAGAGAGAGAGGGAGAAGTAGACTCCCTACTGAACAGGGAGCCCCATGCAGGGCATGAATGAGGAAACTTTTTTTATTTTTTAAAGATTTTATTTATTTATTTGATAGAGAGAGACACAGCGAGAGAGGGAACACAAGCAGGGGGAGTGGGAGAGGGAGAAGCAGGCTTCCCACTGAGCAGGGAGCCTGATGCAGGGCTTGATCCCAGGACCCTGGGACCATGACCTGAGCTGAAGGCAGACGCTTAACGACTGAGCCACCCAGGTGTCCCTAAATGAGGAAACTTCTAAAAGGAGCACATGAGAGTAGAATGAGAAAGAATATTAAGAACTGAAGCAATGTTGAACAAATCTTTATTCAATTATCATTTTTATGTGCTCCACAGCTAAAGCAGGAACTTAGAAATAATCCAGAAGAGAAGAAAGCATAACTAAAAATAAGAGGAAAAGAATATTAAATTCAGAAAAATTGGGATTTTTGTGGCTAGAAGAGGGGGACATGAGGTGTTATAGCTAAAAATTCAAATAATAAAAAGATTTTGATTCAACAAACATTTATTGAAACACATACCACTAAAGATGAATAAAACGGCATCCCTGTCTCTAAGAAACACATCATTTTTGTCGTGGGAGTGGGGAAGATAGGACAGATACACAAATAACATGAGACCGGTTCAAAAAGGTCACAAGGGCTGTATTAGCCCATATGCCACACACACAGAAAGAACAAAAAAGAGTAAGCAAGGAAACAGGGAGCTAGGTATGTCAAAACTTCTAGTTGTTAATAAAATAAAAACCACTTTTTTCAAAGCCTAAAAATACTGAAAGAAAAGTAACTCCAGTGGTTCACCATGTCTTCCTCCCCACTCCCTATTCCATATTTATGACACAATGCCAAGGTCAGCAGGGCTTTTCCAAGGTACCGCTTACAAGAACTTCAGTCAGATGATCGGACAGGTTATTTCCATAGAAATCTTGGGTAGTCAGAAAAGTCATTTCTATTGACATCAGAAAGAGGAATAGAATTTCCTGACAATGAGGGGAAATCCAAGATGAAAGCGGTTGCTTGCAACCTGGGTTATCCTTTAGGTTCCCTCAAGAACTCTAATCTGAATTCAGGGGTACTCCTTCATTCCTTTGTTTACTTGCTGCCTCACTGACTGACATGTATGGAATGCTTTCTATGTGCCAAGCATAAAACTATGACCAGTGAGTAAATGTTGTAAGGAGCAAATGACCGTTTAATAAGAGAAAGAAATTTTCCAATAAGTAGAAAGGCTTAACTGAAATGGATTATGTTAGTGAAATCCTGACTTCCCTGTTTCCAAAAGTATTCAAGCAAAAGGACATGAACTTGAGAGGTTGGATCCACTTCCACTCCCCAGTTTTATAGATAACTTTTCTCAGGCTCTATCTGTAGACATGACTAAACAAGCCCAAAGTCTCAAAAATAAATGCTCAAAAAAAAATCATAGTCCTGGCTATTATTGAAATTAAAATATCAATATACATTTAGCACACACAGAAAAAGAAGTGGAAATGGCAGATAAACTATTGAAAATGACAGCACACTAATGCAAGATACAAAGAAAACAATGGTTTCTGCCCAAAAGACTTATGAAATAAAGCTTGAAAATGCTATTTAAAAGAAAAATGAATGGCCTTTTACATTTAAAATGTTTAATAGGAAGACATTACCTTTTACCTAAACCCATATCCTCTCCAAATGAAATTATTGTTGCCTTCAAATCAGTTTCCCTAACAACTGGAATCTATGGTATTAAGTCAAAGGATTTCATGAGTTTTATAAATAAGGTAATTTCTAAGCCATGAGAAGCAAAAAAATTACAAAAGAATCACAATTGTATTGAAATCTCTAATTCGGTATTACCTATTGCCTTGCTACTTTTTTATAACAACTAAAGTAAGTAAGTCTTTAGAAGCCATATAATTTAGAGTG